TTTCCGGTATTCTCTTTTGAATAGTCAGACAATCCAAAGAAAGCATCATTAAAACAAAAAGAGAAGTCACTTACAAAATAAGATTGAATAAACACTAAAAAGTGACCAAAAATGTTTTGTGTAGGAGCATTGCCAAAATAAAAGAATGAAGTCTTCTTCAGAAGAATGACAAAAACAGCAACTCACTTCAATGTCTGACTTATATTTCCCAAGAAATGCTTTAGCTGGGTGACATTTGTAAATCAACTTAAATGTTATTTATTTTACTTTATTAGTAAGCAGATATCTATGAGGCAAGGTCCATACTTTCTCCCAAGGTATATTGCATCACAATGCTATTCCAATAAGGTATTATGTAAGGAATTGTTGTTATCTCTCTCTGTAAAAGAGCTCTAATTTTATAGTGATTTTTTGTTGATCTGCAGAAAAGCAAACACTTCCGATCATTGTGTCAGTTAAATTCAGAGTGTAAGTACAAGGCCATGCAACAGAAAAGACACACCAGAGGGAATGGCGTTGAAAACAACAGCATAATTCATCAGCAGATACAAATATTATATTTTTGTAAGACATCAGAGTAGTTGTAAAGTCTGCCTTGTGAATTAAAAAGCTGTCCAGCTAAAAGAAGATTGTTTTCGACCCACTCGTCGAAGAAAAGTGATTTATTCTCGTAAAGAATATGCTTATTGTTCCATAAATTATATCTGTGTGGAGAAAAGTTGTGTTTGTATATTAAGGACCAGGCCAAGAGCATCTGCTTATGGAAATTAGAAAGTTTGATAGGGATTTTTAAAACATTATAATAGGAAATTCAGGCCACCAACTTTAGAGAAAATATAATTTGGGATAAAATTCCAAAGTGAGGAGGGATTTTTAAGGAAATTCTTGAGTCAATTAATTTTAAAAGTATTATTTAAGGTAGTAAAATCGACTAAATCCCTGTTTTGTTGGGTTCATTATTACAGATGTCCTAATGTAGTGAGTTTTATTTTTCCAAACAAAATTGTTTAACATGCTATCAATTCTTTTTAATGTTCATTTATCAACCTCCAAGGAAAGAGCAGCATAAGTGAGTCCAGACAATCCTTCGGCTTTAGAGAGTAAAATTCTTCCTCTTAGTGATAAATCTCTCTGCAGCCACGAGTTAAGTTTTCTTTGGGTTTTCACTATAGAGGGTCGAAATTTAGATTACATCTTGTTTTTTGGTCTTTATTAATTAAAATTCCTAAGTATGTAACTTCATCTTTCACAGGAATGTTACATATAGAGGGAACATTACAGCGTTTGATTGACATTAACTCACATTTGTTGATATTCTGGCAGATACCTGAAGCTCTGGAAAAGGACTCAATCAATCTTAAAGCTAAAGGGATTTGGGAGGCGGCATTCAGAAATAAAGTAGGGTCGTCAGCCAGCTGGCTAATAATAATTTGTCAATCTTCAGTTGTGATACCTTGTAAATTATTAGTGGAAATATGCAGAGCTAAAAACTGAGAGGCAAGTAAGAATAGATATGGAGATATAGGACAGCCTTGTCTTACTCCACGTGACAAATCAAATCTGGGTGAGGTTCCGAATTTTAACTTAATAACACTATTATTATTATTTCTGCATAATGTCCTGATGGCTTTACAGAAATAATCTCCAAACCCAAATTTGGCAAGAGCTTGAACTATGAACTTGTGCTCAAGCGAATCAAAGGCTAGAAGTCTAAGAAAAGCAAAACTGTCATTAGGAACGAGATTCTCGTAATCTAGAAGATCTAAAACTAATCTTGTATTATTCGAGCCCGGTCTCATGAAAATGCGTATAAATAGTACGCCAAATAAAAACGAAAACTCATGGTATTGATACGCAAAAATGGACTTTGGCGTGCATATGATACGCATGTGTTTGGCGTGCACATAATACCAGTTTTCGCGTGCATATGATACGCATGTGTTTGGCGTGCACATAATACCAGTTTTCGCGTGCATATGATACGCATGTGTTTGGCGTGCATATAATACGCAGTTTTCGCGTGCATATGATACGCATGTGTTTGGCATATCATATGCACGCGAAAACTGCGTATTATATGCACATAATACGCAGTTTTCGCGTGCATATGATACGCATGTGTTTGGCGTGCACATAATACCAGTTTTCGCGTGCATATGATACGCATGTGTTTGGCATATCATATGCACGCGAAAACCGGTATTATGTGCACGCCAACCACATGCGTATCATATGCACGCGAAAACCGGTATTATGTGCACGCCAACCACATGCGTATCATATGCACGCGAAAACCGGTATTATGTGCACGCCAACCACATGCGTATCATATGCACGCGAAAACCGGTATTATGTGCACGCCAACCACATGCGTATCATATGCACGCCAAAGTCCATTTTTGCGTATCAATACCATGAGTTTTCGTTTTTATTTGGCGTACTATTTATACGCACTTTCATGAGATCGGGTTGATTATTCGTAATGTGACGCTTCTCCATAAAGCTTGATTGTGATTAATCAACTATAGAGTTAAGGACATCTTTAATTATTCTTGCTAAAACTAAAGCTAACAGTTTTTAATCATTATTTAAGAGGGTGATTGGCCTCCAGTTTTCTAGACACTCTTTATCTTTGTTGGGTTTGGGTATCAGGGTGATGACTCCTTGTGTCATGGTTGGTGGAAGTGCTTCCAATTCAAGACTTTCTTTGAACACTTAATAAGAAAGGAGATACATTTTTGTCAAACACCTTATACAGTTCAGCGATTAGACCATCACTGCTCTGACATTTATTCTTTTTTAAACTCTTAATTGCCTGTAGAATTTCTGATTGAGATGTATCGCCGTCACAAGCTTCTTTATCTTAAATAACTTTTTTTGGATTGACAGAGTCAAAAAAACGATTTGGCTGAATTATCACAATATCTTGATAAGTTATTATAGAATTTGGAACAATAAGCAGCTATTTATTTAGGATTATCAAGAACTCTATCATTTGTTCAGAGACGATCAATAGAAACATATAGCATTGGGTCTTTCACTGGAGTTCTGTTCTCCTTCTTCCAGCCATTTTTCCTTGATCTAACATAGGCTCCCTTAGCTTTGGATCTGTACAACTCATCTAATTTATTCTGTAGTTTAGAGCAGTGAATCTCAACCTTTTGGCATACCGGACCTCAGTCCAATTCAGAACCATCCTCAAGGACCTCCAGAACAAAATTGACTCATCTATGTATCATTTGTGTCTTTGTGAGGACCAAATACAGTCAAGTATAATTCAAGTTAGCTGACTTGTCCAGTATTTGGCCATATCATCAGCTATATTGAATTTTTCTTTCATGGGAACATGTCATGTCAAAATATACAAAATGTATACAAAAATTCATACTTTATACGGACCCCCTGGCCTTACGTCAAGGACCACTAGGGGTCCACGGACCCCTGGTTGAGAAACACTGGTTTAGAGTATTCAGTGTTTTGAGTATCTGTCAATGGTTCCCTAAACGATAAAGCAGAAAGCTGTAAAAGAACCTCATCTTCAGTTAATCTATTTTGTTTTGCTATAGGCCTATTACTTCCAAATGTTCTTAAGAATTTCCCTAATTCATATTTTAGAAGCTCCCAATTCCGTCCATACGCTTTTTCTGATTCAGCCCTTTCCCAGTAAGTTTGATTAACTCATCAATCTGCTGTTTTTTGACCTTTTCATATTTAAGAAGAGAATTGTTTAGTTTCCAAAGCGACGCTTTAGAAGTAGGCTATTCATTGTAGTATTTTGTGATAAATTAATTGAAATATAAATGGCATTACGGTCAGTCAGTGGACTGTTGCTAATATTAATAGAGATATTATTATTTATTAATGTTTTAGAGATCAACTAATAATCGATTCTGGATTACTGTATTACATCCGGGTAAATTCCTCTCCATATATCAACCATCAACTAAATCAAATGTAATGTTAAAGTCACCACCTAAAATCAGAAAGGCAGGAGGATATTTGTCTAATGCAGATGAAAGTTTGTGATCTAAGTGCAGTTTCCCGCAACAGAGTTGTATCCATAGAATGAGCGCGCCTTTATTTTGAATCTATTTTGACGTGCTCGTTCTCCCTCCCCGAGCCGCTCTTTTGTTGTTATGACTACGAGGTCGTAAATCCGCCATGTTTTCCCTGTTGAAGCGTTGCGACAGAGACGGAGGTCTGGAACGACATGACTGAAGAAAATAATAATACGGCAGCAACAGTTACCGACCAAGCGGAGCATGGCAACATCATCACCATCCAAACCACACTCGGAGACGAAGGTAGAAACATTGGGATGGGACGCAGTCGCGTGGTAAAAACGCGATTAAATGTGTGGGCCTAACTTTGGCTCGTTCAGTCACGCTAACAGTCTCCATTAGCCGCAATGTTGTTTTTGACCAGCATGCTAATGCTGCTTAGCATCGATCTGTACTGGATGAAGATCTGACAACACACATGTTACTGCTGCAGCTTTCCAAGGCTGTTTGATATTAAAACCGCACGGCAACAAGATTCGGCTCCCAAAACGCCCTGTGAATTTTATTTTTTATGTGTGCCAACTCTATGAAAACACAATTTCCACAACAAAGTCATTTGCACCTCAAATTAAACATTTTGTTTAATAGCATTCTGGGATGCAAATGACATATTTATGGACTAAATAGTTTTGTCTTTGTAAAAGTCATGTAAAACATGTAATATTTTATTAATAAATGAAAGTTATAGTACAAAAACACAACAAAATTACTGAAACTTTAACTGAATCATTATGAAAATATAAAAACGAATCCAAAATGTTAATAACAACTATAGTATATAGATGTTTAAGTTATATTAATTGTATTATAACATTAAATTACATATTATAAAGTATATAACTTAATAAATATTCATAATTAACATTTTATTTTACAATTAAAATATTAAAGCGTATTATTTTATAAATGTATTTTTTATATATATTAAAAAAAACCTATTGGATGCCGCAATTGTGGGAAAATGTATATTATATTGCATTCTTATTGCATTTCATGTTGCATAGATACTTCTGCAATATGTATGATCCGTTAAACTGAAATGAGATGTGCAATATTTTGGTGTTCCCTCTCAGATGAGGATATTCATAAATGCGGGAGATGTCTGGAGGAGTTCTCCGCTCTGGATGCTTTCATCCAACATAAACTCAGCAGGAGCTGCAAGCGTCCTCAGCAGGACCATCAGGTTTGTGTGAAATGATATCCTTCCTCATTTACTGGATACTTTCATATCCAGAGGGATTGACTGTACATATTTATTATTCATCAAAGAATCCTGAAAAAACGGATCATGTTTTCCACACAGATATTAAACAAAAACTTTTTGCATGATTGGTAATAAGAAATGTTTCTTGAGCAGCTAATCATCATATCAGAATGATTTCTGAAGGATCACGTGGCACTGAAGACTGGAGTAATGATGCTGCAAATTCAGCTTTAACATCACCGGAATAAATGACATTTTACAGTATATTCAAATAGAAAGCAGTTATTTAAAATTGTAATAATATTTCATGATATTTCTGTTTTTACTGTAGTTTTGATCAAGTAAATGCATCCCCATAAATGATCTTACTGACCCCAAACGTTTAAATGGTAGTCTGTGAGCATCATATACTCAAGAAGCTGTACAAAATGTAAGCTAAGGATACATCAGTGCTCATCTGTCTGTCTCCTTCCTCAGACAAATATTGTCCCTAATGAAGCTGCTTCCATCGATGTGAAATTAAGTGAAAATGATAGTTCATCTGATGAAGCGGGAACGTCGAATGCAGGTACTTCACTTTTGATTTAGTGAAGTCAATAAAATATAACTTGTTGTATTGAGGGATTTGAATTGAACATAATTTACCAATCCATCTGTCTTTGGGTACTAAATCAAGTCGCTTGGTTCCTTTAGACAAGGGAGATAAAGCGGCGGCTGGAGGAAAAAAGAGAAGCCGCTCTGCAAGCGAGGATGACAGTTCCAGTCCTGCAAAAGTCGTTTGGAAGTTAAACGCAGAGGGACGGTACATCTGTGAGATATGTGAGAAGACCTTTAAAACGGTACAATATTAGATCATATTTATGCATTTGAATTCTTATCTTATTTGGGAATATGCAAGCAAAACTCACTTCAGTTGTAAATTTGATCCATTTATTTGTCCCGCAGACAAATATTCTCAGAACCCACATGTTCACGCACACGGACCAGAAGGATTTTAAGTGTGAAATATGCGAGAATGCTTTTAGGACCAAGGGGTCGTTGATCCGGCACAAACGTCGGCACACAGGTAAAACTAAGCTGTGTGTGAAGTGGCGTCTTTGTACTGGACTCTGCTAAGTAGTAGGGGTTGCACCGACTAATCGACTGCTCGACTTCAATGCTCTGCATGACGCTTTAAGCTTGACGTCGACTAGTCGCGGGTCCTATAGAGGGCGCAACAGGATAAGAAATCTTTGAAGGACTTCCACATTTACTCTCTGTTTCCAAACAGTTCAAATGACAAATAAATGCATACTCTGAAAGCGCTCCACAAGACGTGTGATTATATTACTGGATGCTTGAAATTGAACAGGAGAATGCACGTTTTAAACAGCTTATTGTACAGGTACGTTAATCGCCGTTCTAATCTAATGCTCTGCTGCACGCATAGGCTACAGACAGTAGCGCGTACATCACGCGCAGATCGCGAGCACACAGAATCATTCAGCACGGAAATGTATTGTCAACACTGTTCTGTGATTTCTCAGTAAAATAGCTTAGAAACTGAAAAGTTCAAGCATATATTTCTTAATAAGTAAATTCCACAGCTTCACTACTAGTAGAGAGACGCTGTCAGGTAGAATTAATTCACACACGTAATCGCTCTCACTAATGCATTCATATGAATGTAGTCTTTACTGTGCTGCTTTATCTGTATCTGATTTAGAATGAGCAGAAATCTGTGAGAAATATAACGACCCAAAGACAAAATAACTGATAAAAGAGCTGTTATAGCAGCAATAGCCATGTGGGCAGCGCTGTGTCATATGCCATAGCTGTGCACAAGGTGCTTGTCACTGCTCCAGACTTATTTGTTCATTAATGACGTCATCAGCGACTAGTCGACTTCGACTCGACTTTCATCACATTAAAGTCGACTTAAAAAAATCAGAAGTCGTTCAACCCCTTCTAAGTAGTGAAAGTTATTTAGTGTCTGTGTAAACTTTTATGCATGTCTTTCTAAGTATTATGATATCATTTCCTTTGGCAGATGAGCGTCCGTACCGCTGCAATCAGTGTGGACTGGCGTTCAGAGAGTCCGGAGCGCTAACCAGACATCTGAAGTCTCTCACGCCTTGCACTGAGAAGATTCGCTACAGTCAGTGTAAAGAGATACTTGTTAGCAAGGATGGAGTTCAGAAAGGTACGAAGCCTTTCATAATGACCTTTTCAGCGACGGATCTTTTCTTCCATATTGTGATGTACGTCTGAGTGTAATGGATTATAAATGATTGGTGAAGACTGGCATATGTCACCAGAGAAAAGTCTGTTTTGATTTAACATTACAAGGTGAAAAACTGAATGAATACATTTTTCAGAATAAGATCTATAGCATGCATTTAGAAAATAGATGGTGAATTTTCATTTCATGCCGACATTCTTTTTCATGTGGAAACTGTTGTGCACGTGAGGTTTTCTGATTGTATTGCTGTTGGGTATCGTTCTAGAAGTTCAGCCGTCCCCTCCTGAATCTGAGAAGGAGCAGATTCCTGTCGTGAGAGTTGTGGAAGCTGGTCAGGAGATCATCCAGATCGAGGTGGTAGGACAAGTGCAACAGGTCTGAGACTAACAAAGCTAGTTAATTAATTACAAATATTTTTGGTGCAGAAAAGCATGTTGAATTTCACTAATTCAAAAAAGCACGGACCGTTATTGCATTTTTGGGTGCTGCAATTTAACAGTCTCAACAGTAGGGCCAGTAGTTGAGATTTTTTTTTTGCTTTGCCAACATTGATACGATTATATAATTAAAATAATTGAAAACTGATATTTACTTATATTTTTAGAATGTTGAGCTCTGTATGACAATTCAGTTGCATTATCATGAATCATAACACTTTACAAGGTTCAATGTATTACGTGTATTAGATATCCTTGAACTAACAATGAGAAATACATTTACATCATTTATTAATCCAGTTCTTTATGTATAGATTTCTACATGTACTGTAAATGTTTTAGTATTTCAGGTTGTATGGATTAACAGGTAACACTTTACAATAAGGTTCCATTAGTTAATGTATTAACATTAATTACAGTATTTATTAATCTTTGTTAATGTTAGTTAATGAAAATACAGTTGTACATTGTTAGTTCATGGTAATTCACAGTGCTTTAACTAATGTTATAAAACGGATAGTTCCGGTCCTTGATTCTGATTGGCTGAGCCATGTTCGAAGCTGTTGTAAATTACTCTACAAACATACAGATTTGTTTACGTTTGTGTGTTGCTTGGCAACTTTGTTGCAACCACAACCGATTCCGAGGAACTACATTGTTTGGCGGAAGAATAATTTTTTGATTAATATTATTACACTTTATTTGCTCTGTTTTATTTTGTGAAACCTTACTACGTATATGGAATAACCATTTTATAAAAGCAATAATCCCCGTGAAGCCGTGGTTTACAGTGAATTTATAACAGCTAAGGGGGTTTTAGGCACTTTGCATCGTGCCTAACAATGCCCCTTAGCTGTTATAAATTCGCTGTAAACCATGACTTCTTGGGGCTTATTGCTTTATTAACAAGCACAACCTTTGATTTTAATAATGCATTAGTAAATGTTGAAATTAACATTAGCTAAGATTAATATATGCTGTAGAAGTATTGTTCATTCTAACTAAAGTAGTTAACTAATGCTAACTAATGAACTTTATTGTGAAGTGTTACCAGTTAATGTATTATGAGAAAATATAATTCAACAAAGAACAGAAGTATATTTATAAATTAGCATTTATCTAGATAAATGCTGTAAAAATTGTTGTTCATTGTTAGTTAAGGCTGCCCAAATTCATTACTAATGTTATTACCGACAACGTCTACTACATTAACAAATGTTAAATAATTAAACCTTATTACGAAGTGTTACATAAATAATATTATTAAAATGGCTAAAAAGCTAGACTAAAAGCTCAGGGCCAAATTTAAAAAAATAGTTTTAACAAAAAGAAAAAAAAATCTTTCTAAGTAACTTTATCTTTCTTTAGTATAAATTAAGATGCTTGGAAAAGTACAAGGACATTTGTTTATATATTCAGAAGTTGTGAATATGTATGTAGTTAATGTAGTTCCTCTGTTCCTCTGACAGGTCGTGTCTCAGCCTCAAACTGCGACTGTGGTTGAAGCCGACAATCTAATCTGCCAGGCCATCATAAACTCTGGCATCGCGCTGGAGACCGAAGCCACAGAGGCAGCCGAGCAGGCAGAGGCCCGGTCACCTAAAGCAGCCCTGCAGGCTCCTGAGACTGACGCCAGGCTCACTGAGATCCAGGTGACAGAAGAATGTGTGGAGACCGTGGCCGAGGAAACACAAGTGAGTTTCTTAAATTGTGACGGCATGTTTTATTCCAATAAAACAACACAATAAACTTCAAACTTTTTTATCCATTCTAGGATTCGTCTGTGAAGGAAGACGAACCAGTTGAGACAAAATTATACAAATGTCCTCACTGTGAACGCATGTTCAAGACGTTGACCTACCTGAGGGTCCATGTCAAAGGGCATGTTGGTAAGCCCCATTCAAAGCAGTTTATTCATTAACAATATGGAATAGCTGTGTAACAGCCGAGTCTCTGAATATTTTTTTCTTTCGCAGGTTACAAGCCGTTTAAGTGCTTAACATGTCAGAAGGAGTTCCTGACGGGCTACGTGCTGAAGAAACACATGGAGACACATGTCAGCGAGCGGCGCTACAAATGCGGAGAGTGCGGCAAGCAGTTTAAAGCCATCGGACACGTGCGGGAACACATGAGAGCGCATTCAGACGAGAGGCCGTACCACTGCAGCTTCTGTGACAAGAGCTACAAGACCAAGGTGAGGTCAATATGCAAACACAGTCCTTAGGTTTTACATTGTCATCTTTAAAGCATGGTCTGTCGTGTTCCAGAATGCTCTGCAGGTCCACCATCGCACTCATGGCGAGGAAAAGCCTTACGTGTGTCCGCACTGCTCCCGTGGCTTCCGGGAAAAGAGCGCTTTGGTGCGGCACATCCGGCATCACACGGGTGAAAAGCCCTTCAAGTGCTCCAACTGTGGCCGGGGCTTTGCTGAACATGGAACGCTGAACCGTCACCTGCGAGCTAAAGGTTTATAAACATCTATCACTAAAATGATTAATTAATTAATCATTCAAATAATTAAAACACATTTATACTGAAGTCAATGTTAGAAAACAACTAGTACACATAAGTATAATGTGCTTTCTGTTATATTAAAAGTCCTAAATATAAGCTGTAAAACTGATTCTCTATATGGATATCGTATAGAGAATATTGATATCATAAAGTGTTTTGTATTGCTATTTTGCATTGAATTTTTAAGCATCTCTTGAAAAATCTGTATATTGGTAAAAAACAAAAACATAAATTTATAGTTTTTGTTAATATTTTGAATTAGATTTAATTTGTATACTTTCTATTTTCACTTTAATTTTAGTAATAGTTTTCTTAAGAATGTCTATATAGTATGTCTTTTTTTTATTAGTTATAATTTATTTAGTTTTAGTTATTAACTTCAGTTATAGTTATATTACAGCGCTTCAACTTAAGCTAAAGGAAAATGAGAAATGTTGCCTTGGCTACTAGCTGAAATAAAATAAGTTTAAGTTTTTTAATATTTTATTTCCGTTAATGTTTATTTTATTGCAAATAACGAAAATGTACATTTATGCATTTTTTGCATTTATTTAGAAGACGCTTTTATCAAAAGCAACTTACAGTCTGAAGGATCATGTGACACTGAAGACTGAAGTAATGTTGCTGAAAATACAGCTTTGCATCAGGAATATTTTACATTTTAAAATATATACAAATAGAAAACTTATTTTAAATGAAAGTAATATTTTACAATAATACCGTTTTTACTGTGTTTTTGATCCAATAAATGCATCCTTGGTGAGCATAATAAATTTTTTTCTTTCGAAAACATTAAAAAGTCTAGCTAAACTTATACATAACTTATATATATACCTGCATTTCAGTTGGCCCTGTACTTGTACTCTGCACAATGACAATAAAGTTGAATCTAATCTAATATAAGTGTATACATAATTGAAGACACTTGAGAGAGACCCTAAGCTATTTATAGACATCATGAATTCTTACAGTTGTCACTTGTAATGACTGTATATGTGTTTGTGTGGTCAGGGGGCTGTTTTGCCGTGCAGCTGAAGGACTCTGAACATGCAGGGAACTCTGAGGAGCAGGAGCTGGCGGCTGAGATCGTATCAGACGACCCTCATGCTGTGCTGGTGGAGTTCTCCTCAGTAGTGGCCGACACTCAGGAATACATTATAGGGGTAAACATCACGTGTGTTACGTATACTTATGTGACTTGATGTGCCAGGGTGGCCATTATATTGCTTACGTGTGTATATAAAATTAGATGAAAATTAATATATGAACAACATAAAAATGTATTATAATTAATAATGATGAAAATCCAACCAGTTTTATGTGACTTTTTGTTTTAATTAAATTGGATTCATTTTCTTATATTAAATTGCATATCATTACATGCATATATCAGCAATATTTGTGATTTTCACTACCTTTCACCACTTGGTTTTTATAGGAAAAATTTTGGAGTCAGATTTTTTTCTTGTTTTTGAAATAAGTCTCTTATACTCACCAAAGCTGCATATATTTGTTCAGGAATACAGTAAAAACAGTGATATTGGGAAATTTTATTATGATTTAAAATAAATGTTTTGTATTTCAGTATATTTAAAAACGTAATTTATTCCTGTGATGCAAAGCTGTATTTTCAGCATCATTACTTCATTCTTCAGTGTCACATGATCCTTCAGAAATCATTCTGATATTATTATCAATAATATTAAATCGTGCTGCTTAATATTATTGTGGAAACTGTGATTTTAAATATTTTACAATTTTATTTAGTAACTTTTACTGCCACTTTTGATCAGCTATAATGCATTCTTGCTAAATAATTTTTTTTTTTTTTTTTTTTAAGTCATACTGACTCCAAACTTTCAAATGCTAGTGTGTATTTAATAATATTTTGTAATAGATAATAGGATGGCCTAAAGTCTTTAAAAAATATGATAAAGATAGCTGTTGCAATATAGTGATTATAATATTTTTTTAAAATACAGATTTCGTTTGATTTTTTAATTTTTTTCAGACACCATCTGAGGAAGCAACTCAAGGTGAAGAAGTAATAATCCAAGATAATCAGCAGCAGGTAGATTTTTTTCTTGTTTTTGAAATAAGTCTCTTATACTCACCAAAGCTGCATATATTTGTTCAGGAATACAGTAAAAACAGTGATATTGGGAAATTTTATTATGATTTAAAATAAATGTTTTGTATTTCAGTATATTTAAAAACGTAATTTATTCCTGTGATGCAAAGCTGTATTTTCAGCATCATTACTTCATTCTTCAGTGTCACATGATCCTTCAGAAATCATTCTGATATTATTATCAATAATATTAAATCGTGCTGCTTAATATTATTGTGGAAACTGTGATTTTAAATATTTTACAATTTTATTTAGTAACTTTTACTGCCACTTTTGATCAGCTTAATGCATTCTTGCTAAATCATTTTTTTTTTTTTTTTTTAAGTCATACTGACTCCAAACTTTCAAATGCTAGTGTATATTTAATAATATTTTGTAATAGATAATAGGATGGCCCTAAAGTCTTTAAAAAATATGATAAAGATAGCTGTTGCAATATAGTGATTATAATATTTTTTTTAAATACAGATTTCGTTTGATTTTTTAATTTTTTTCAGACACCATCTGAGGAAACAAAACATTGCTTTATTTGTTTGACCAGCCGGACACAGCATTATTGGCAGTGACTTGAGTTTGGGGCGGGACAGACTGTTTGATTGACCAGTGGAAGATGTTTGCTAGTTGAGCAGAAATGACACAATTCAGTTCTAAACATACATCTCTGTAGTCCTAAAATCCAATATTGTGAACTACGTTTTTTCAAACTTAGTACATTAACATTCAAAAGTCTTACTATGTTTGCGAGAAGTCTCTTAATGCTCACCATGGCTGCATTCATTTGATCAAAAATACAGTAAAAACAGTCATATGAAATGAAAAAAAAGTAATATTTAAATTATTACAATATAAAATAACTGCTTTCTATTTTAATGTATTTTAAAATGTCATTTATTCCTGCAGCCATTACTCCAGTCTTCAGTGTCACATGATCCTTCAGAAATCATTCTAATATGCTGATTTATTCCCCCAGGATTTCAAGATTGAATTTGTGATTGATGCACTGTGTGTTTCAGTCTGCAAGCCCGCTTGGCTTATATTGTCTTTAGATGTGGAGATGCAAGCATGAGGTTGATGTATTTTTCTATATCCAGATAGATCGAGGCGGGAGACGCTTCATTCTGGCAGATCGGGGGCATATTGAAGCTCTGGTCACCTTCACTATCTGTTCTCCCTCCCTTCACTGCACATGCTGGAGTACTTTGCCCCTTCAGGCCTTCACATATGCCCATATATAATTGCATTTTTCTTTTATTTCTAGCTATAATTGAATCCCTGACCTGACTTGCAAATGATCCATTGAAAAACAGTTGTACCCTCTGGTTTGACATGTTTCAGAGTGATATTAAATAGGATTATCGACGGTCATCTTGTAGTATCCAGTGCCTTTTAAGACACTGTTTTGTTTTTGCATTGTTAACTCTTCCTTATAGCCAGCAAAAGCATTATAACACAATTATATCCCCCAAATCAAAAGAAATACAAGAAAGATATTTTGCATTAAAAATGAGGACATTAGGACCTTTATTTATATATTTTGACAAATAAGCGCATTTTCTTGTAAAAAAAATATTTTCATTATTTTATTGCCTTAATTTTTTTGTTTTATAGTTTAAATAATTTTATTTTACTTTTCAATTTTAGTTTTGTTATTTGTTTTATTTTTGTTTATAAAAAAATTATATACTTTTTTGTATTTAAAATTTGAATACAAAGTTTAGTTTTTTAATTTTATTTATTTTATTTTTTTTGTTTCAATTTAAATTATTTTTGTTGTTTCAAAACAAATTTGTTTTTGTTTTATTTACGTTTTATATATTTTGGTTTTTAGTTTTTGTATTTAAAATCATTTTGTTTTACTTTATTTTTATTTAGTTACATTTAGTTTTGTTTTAGGTATTTTTTTATTTATATAAAATTCACCCTTTTATTCAAAGTTATTTATTTACAGGGAAGTAGACAAAGTACTTTATTTATTTCCATATGTGACCCTGGACCACAAAACCAGTCTCAAGTTGCTTGGGTATATTTGTAGCAATAGCCAAAAAAACATTGTTTGGGTCAAAATTATCGATTTTTCTTTTATGCCAAAAATCATTTGGATATTAAGTAAAGATCATGTTCCATGAAGATATTTTGTAAATTTCTTACCGTAAACATATCAAAACTTATTTTTTTGATTAGTAATATGCATTGCTAAGAACTTCATTTGGACAACTTTAAAGGAGATTTTCTCAATATTTAGATTTTTTTTGCACCCTCAGATTCCAGATGTTCAAATAGTTGTATCTCGGCCAACTATTGTCCTATCCTAACAAACCATACATCAATGGAAAGCTTATTTATTTAGATATATAGATGGTATAAATCTCAATTTCAAAATATTTACCCTTATGACTGGTTTTGTGGTCCAGGTTCACATATAGCATAACCTAAGTGTAAGGGCACAGTTGGGTTGCTTTTGCTTTGCAGAGGTCAAACCAGCAACCTTCTGACTACCAGCCCTGAGCGCCACAGATCTCCTCATTACTTTCTGACGTCATGCTGTAAATGCTATTAATATCATATTAAATCATACCCATCACTGCAGTGTTGGAGGTTAACCATTCCTGCTGTTCTGAAACTGTGCTTGAATAAGGAACAGTTGGAAGAATGATACCGGATCAGATTTGTAGAAGGGGAGTTGGAGTTAAATGTACCAGACTACATCTAACTGTACCACAGCATCTCTGAGGATCTGTAATCGGAGCGCCGTCCTTTGCTGCTCTGACAGGCAGTTTCTGGGTCACTCCTCAGCCCTGAGAGAGGGCCCAATCCACCAGCATCACAGAGAGAGAGAGGGAGAGGGAGGTATTTATAGAAAAATGGGGCTTCACTGTACCTTTTTCTTGCAAAAGAATCATTAAAAGACCCAGCTAGCTTGTCCCAGATTTCTGCTCCGTGCTCTGCAAGACGGTTTGAACTGGACTTACTTATTGGAGACGTAGAGCCACGGCTGCAGAGAGCTTGACCGCGCTCTCTTGATCTACACTGGACTGATATCCTCACCAGAGGATCCTCGATGGAGGCTACACCTGCCGGATCGATTGCTTTTGGTAATGATGGAGCAGTGACTTGTTGAGGAGGGTGATGAGGTGCTGACCTGACGTGACCTCTTACAGCTTGACTTCCACACAGAAGACCCAGAAACCATGATGAGAAGATTTTTGAAGAGCCAGAAGGGTCGTTTCTCTCTTCGCCAAAGCCGATCGGGATCCCGCAGTGCCTCCAAAGATTTCTGTAAGTTCATAAAGCAGAACATGGAGCTCTGTGAGGTGGTAAATGAGAAAAATAGGCTTATATTTTCTGTTCATTTTATTAAAGAACGTATATTTTGGAGATGAAGATAGAGAGAGAGTGTGTGTGTGTGTGTATGTATATATATATATATATATATATATACATGCATACATGCATACATGCATACATAGACACACTATCCATCTCTCTTGCTCTCTCTCTCTCTATATACATAAATTAATATGTTTCTTCAATTCCACAGACCCAAACCCTAACGTGCTGAGAGATTTCCCACTGAATATTGGTGCGTAAAGTAATTGCTTGATCGTTTTTTTTTCGCCCGTCTGTTATTAGGTCACAAATTCAATTACAACAACTACAGTATGCTATATGATGAAGTGCTGCAAACGTAATGCGTGAACTGTTCTCTGTCTGATATTTTGTAAATGCAAGGGAGTAGATTTGGTTTTAATAGAAATGGGGATTCTGAAAGTCTTCCCATTTATTTTATTTTACTTTATTTTAAGTAAGTAAACAAATATAGCAAGATGATTTAATTAAATACATTTTTATTTTATAAAGACTAAATTAAGTTTAATAAAGACTACTTGCCACTTATCTCTCATGTATTGGCTTTTTCCAGAACTGGCCCTTCCAGCAAATAACCAGGGTTGGCCAGAGGACTTTGGCTTTAAGCTGGGTGGAGATGGACCCAGTTACATCCTCTCTGTGGTGGAGGGCAGCAGCGCTTACATGGCTGGACTGCAGCCAGGTGACCAGGTTCTGGAGATCGATGGGCAGAACGTCTCGTCCCTCAGCTCCAAAGCCCTCATTGCTCTGGCTCAGACCCTCAAGACTGTGCCACCCAGCATTGGCGTTGTGTCTAGAATTGAACAGGCCAGTTTTTCTTCACTGACATGCCATATACTGTCAACAAAACAGTAACAAAACTGACCTAAATTTGGTTTAATTTGGCGTAATTCAAGAGAAAAAAGCAGTTCATATGGGAAATTGGTTGATTATTAAATAGAAAAGCGAGTTCTTAAAAAATGTCCAAAATCGCCTCTATATTATCTCTCTATATAAATACAGTTGCCTTAAAAAGTATTTGGACACTTAAGTCAAGCAAAAAATGTATGAATGGCATTGCAACAATTTTTTTCCCCCCTTAAAAAAAAAAAAAAAAATTGAGTTAAGATTTTTTAGGTTTTTGAAGTCTCTTATTTAGTAATATTGTGAAAATATTATTACAATTTAAAATATAATTGTTTATATAATTGTTTTCTATTTGCATATATTTTAAAATGCATTATATATTATGCATATAATAAATGCACAGTAATTTATTCCTGTGATTTTAAAGCTGAAAATTCCTGTGATGCAAAGCTGAATTTTCAGCATCATTACTCCAGTCTTCATAGTCACATGATCCACAGAATCATTCTAATATGCTGATTTGCAGTGTTGAAAATTGTTGTGCTTCTTAATATTTTTACGGAAATATTTTTTTTAGTAATAACATTTGATGGAAAATACATTTTTCATTCTTTGATGAATAGATAGTTCAAAAGAACAGCATTTACTTGAAATAGAAATATTTTGTAATATAAAAGTCTCTTGATAAATATACTTTTAAATAGTAGCGTAGATATATAAAATAATAATTTAAAAAATAACATTATATATAATATCATAATATATACACTGCCATTCAAAAGTTTGGGATCAGTAAGACTTGTAATGTTTTTTAAAGAAGTCTCTTAAGGCTGCATTTATTTAATCAAAAATTCAGAAAAAACTGTAATCTTGCTAAATGTTATTACAATATAAAATAATGGTTTCTATTTTAATATCCTTTAAAATATAATTTATTTCTGTGATGCAAAGCTGAATTTCCATCAGCCATTACTCCAGTATAAAGTGTCACATGATCCTTCAGAAATCATTCTAATATGTTGATTTATTATTAGAATGATCAATGTTGGCAACAGTTGTGCAGTCTTTTTTTGGAAACGGCGATACTTTTTTCAGGATTCTTTGATGAATAAAAAGTTAAAAAGAACAGCATTTATTCAAAATATAAATCTTTTCTAACAATATAAATCTTTGCTATCACTTAACAATTTAACACATCCTTCCTTGCTGAATAAAGGTTTTAATTTCTTTCAAAAAAAGAAAGGATAAAAATGTACTGACCCCAAATTTTTGAACTTTTTAACTTTTTATTCATCAAAGAATCCTGAAAAAAAGTATCACAGGTTCCCAAAAAAATAACTGTTGTAAAAATAACAACAGTTTCCAGCACTGATAATAAATCAGCATATTGGAATGATTTCTGAAGGATCATGTGACACTGAAGACTGGAGTAATGATGTTGAAAATTCAGCTTTGCATCACAGGAATAAATTACATTTTAATTTATATTAAAATAGAAAAACGTTATTTTACATCAGAATAATATTTCACAATATTACTTTTTTTCCTGTATTTTTGATCAAATAAATGCAGCCTTGATGAGCATAAGAAACTCCTGTAAAAAAACATAAAAAATCGTTCTGATCCCAAACTTTTGACCGGTAGTATGTATATATATATCAAGTTACCCTTGTTGTGCTAAAGAAAATTCAGATCTCTCCTAATTTTCCTTTGCTTCTGTAGAGCAAACCAGTGTCACTCACCCTTATCCACTTTACCACCACAGATGGACATTGCCCCGGGGCCTGATGGTCGTTTTGGCTTTACTATAGTGGGAGACAGTCCCCTGCTGGTGGAGGACTGCATGCTCAACTCTCCAGCCGGCCGGAGTGGACTGCGAGCAGGTGACTATGTGATGGAGGTGAATGGGATTCCAGTGAAACAGCACGAGACGGCGGCGGCCATGATCAAGGCCTCTCAGGGACGTACACTGCGTCTGGGTGTGCTGCGGATCAACCGCTGGCAGAAACGCAGCAGCAGCAGCATGAAAGAGACCTATCAGAGCGGAGACATGGTGAGGCAAGACCGTAAGCACAAAGCTCTGGAGTTCAACAAGAAGGTCAGTCTCAAGGGGCATGGAAAAATTGGATCACACTTTAGTTTGGACACCAGTTCTCACTATTAACTATGACTTTTGCCTCAATAAACTCCCTATTTGCTGCTTATTAATAGTTAGTAAGGTAGTTGCAATGTTTAGGTATGGGGTCGTATTGAGTATCTAAAATATGGTCATGCAGAATAAAATTTGTGCTTTATTAGTGCTAATAAACAGCCAATTAGCTAATATGTAATATGTCATATAATATGTAATATAGCCAATTAGTAATATGCATGCAAATCAGCAACTAGTTAATAGTGCGAATTGGTCCCTAAACTAAAGTGTTAACAAAAATTGTTAAACTGTTACTCAAACCTCATAAAGTTAGTTTGGGCTGGTTAAACATCACACAATATTTTTCACTGGCACTTTCAAACTCCAGTGTTGGCGAAGTTAAAATGGTCTGTTTTGAATTTTTATAGGTTGAGGAGATTTTAGGCGAGGAGCCTGAGGTGAAAGAGAGGCTGTTTGATTTGCTGAAGCAGTATGCAAATGAGAGGGATGTTGAAGGTCTGGCGTCTACACTTCCAGAAATACTGCTCACCGAGGAACACCAGCAACTGATTGACAGCATCAGGTATCAGTGAGCTTTCATAAGTCAAATTACATGACCCGCCTCCCTATTATTTATTTAAAAAGCAGCTTTATGAACATAAATTTGCCATGTCATTACAGGCGGCCATCTTTAATGAGCTGGCTATTCCCTCCCATCCTTCTTTAAAAACTCTTTATGCTTTAAAAGATTGGGGCGACTATATCTGTCTTTTTAGTTAGTTTCAACATGCTTATAGCTTAAAATACAAAAATTCTTTGCATATTTTTCATCAATACCTTTTATAATAACTATGATCTATGAAGTATTTAATCATTCTCTTTAATCGTTAACAATTAGATTACAGATTTGAAAAATAAAATTAGATTTTAATATTGCTAGATTATTTCTTTATTTTTACGTAATTATTATTATTAGATTTAATATTATATTTTGTGAAAGTATACACTATAAGAAGTCTCCCTCTCATAGGTTTGCAGGTGTCCGTTCTCTCTCTCGCTGATGAGGGTCTTTGTCAGGAGAATTTGATGCGTCTCATAGCTGAAATGTGTTCAGTTACACTGACGGAGCAGTTTTAACATCAGCCGCCTCTCGCTACCAATGAGGAATTATACCCGTGAGGTTTACTGCATAAAATATTGTTTATCAAATATGCATGCTATTTTTTGAAGTTATATGCTTGAAAACTCTGAATATGGGACCACTATTAAATCCCCCTTACCGCCATGAGGAGTGAATTATTAAGAAGAACAGCCTGCTCCAGATACCTAGATTCACACTTTTCATCAGCTTGTTCTGATTAACCCTTGATAGCCTGTCCTTGTATTATCGGGAACCATGAATGCCTTCTTTAGCAAGTAAGAAATGTTTTTTGTACTTGCACAAAGCTTTGATTTTTCTGTCATTTTCCATTGTTCAGAGACAAGTTGCTTTTTATGGGATGTTTGTTGCATGTCTTCAGAATTCTTTATGGGAAGTTTAAGCAGCAGACTATTGATGATGGTGTCAGTTTTGAATATTGATGATCAGATTTGAATTTGAACTGTGGAAGCCTGTTTCTGCCACTGGATAAAAAACAAAAAGAAAAAAAAAAGGTAATTGTGAATTTTTATCTCAAAATTCAGACTTTTCTCGCAATTCAGAAATGCGAGATATAAACTCAGAATTGCAAATGCATATCTCACAATTCTGTATTCATTCTGAAATGTGAAATAAAAATTCAGAATTGCGAAATATGAACAATTCTGTGAAAAAAAAGTAATAATCACAACTTCACAAGTTATCGATTCAAAATTCAGACTTTTCTCACTATTGACTCTTTGTTGGGAGTTTCATTGACAGGCGATCCGACCAATCATCTGCCGAATCTAGAGTAGATTAATGTTGGTGGACTTGAACTTGAAAAATGGAGTGTATTTACATCTTTCCATGGCTGAAACAAGATTACCTTCTGATGTTCATTCATGTTTATTTCGTGCTATAAGTAGTTAAGAGGAAGAGATGATCGGTTCACGATCCACTTGAACTGAGGCGATCTGTCACAACACATTAAAGAGCCACAAAACAGTATTTGTTTGAATTCCTTTAAAAAAGGCAACATTTGAAAGCTGAGACTTTGCTCAGCCATGTATTTTTCACCGCATGAGAACATGATGTGTGGCGTGAGAGTGCCATGGCTTGTTGTCGGACGTAGCAACAGTAACTAAGGGGGGGCGGGTCAACTGTGAAACATAAACTCAGAATTGTGAGAAAAAAAAAAACGGAATTAAAAAGTTGCAATTGCTTTAATAATTTCTTATCCCATGTCAGAAACAAGCTTCCATGGCCCACACATGTAGATTGAATGCATATAAGCATGTCAGTGAGAGCATGACCTTTCTAGTTCATCTTCATCGATATTGCTTGCATTTGGCATATATCACTGCATTTTCACAGTCCTTCAGTCAACTTTGGCACTGACCAGCTTGTATGCTGCGCTCCGTCCCTGCAAAAATGTTGCCCAGTTCTCCCCATGGAACCTCCCTATTTTTAAGCAGCCTACTTCTTATAATAAGCCTCTCTTAGGTCTGTGACGCACCAGAAGTTTGCACAAAATCCACATAACAACTTTCTTGCTTTAAAGTTGCGAGTTTCCAGCTGAGGTACAAAGCAGCCAAGAAGGATTTTGAGGGAATTGTTTCTTTGTGACTTTTTATCTGGTTGGTGTTTGCTGTGCAGACTCTACTTTTGTCTTTGCGTCTTGAACTTGGATACTTGAGGATCTTCTAACTCGTGCACAATTATGTGGATCGAGTGTGAATTGAGTAACTCATGCTGACCTCCCTTAGATTTCCAGTGGGACGGTATCTATTTTCTCACTCGCTCTCTGTTCCTGCTCCACTCTTTCATTCTATTCTCTCTCTTCACATCTGAAGCAGCTGCGACTTTGGCTTTCATTTGCAGTTGAAGGCATCTGGTCTACAGTTCTGGATGTAGACTCCTTTTTAACGTTAAACTCCCCAAGGCAACCCAGCACGGAGATGTGGAGATCTTGCCAAAGTTGACTCGATGATGACGTGACCTGAAGTTTCCTTCTTCATCCATGCAACGTCATCGCTCCTCAAGTTGGCGCTAATAAGCATCTCCTCATCTGGAGATAATGGCTTTTCCGATTATCCTGTTCTATTCACTGAATGGTTATTCCAGCTGTATGAAGACTCCTGCACTAAGATCAAGAACATTTCATTTTGTTTGAGACACAACTTAATTTAAAGGAGAGATGGGGCGTGACAGGGGTTTCTCCAAGCGTTTTCGGTAAGAAAAACCTTCTAGGATCAAACAGAAGCTAGTTTCAGAAATTAAGGTTTGATTAAATTTCTAGGGAAATTGTAACTCTTTATAATTTATACCGTTTCATGCAATATTGGACTATAGATACGGAGCAAATAGAAAAGACATTAAAGCTTTTAGACCTACTGTGAAATTCTTTCAATTTGTTTTTGTCATTTTACTTTAAAATCGTATTAAGTCCTCATTTGGCCTTGTTGTTGAGCTTGCTTTTTTAAGACTTGTTAAGAGAATGTTAATCAGTTTGTAAATGCATGGCATGCTTTGTTAATGTGAGTAGAGGCATTCAAAGATGAACTAAAATAGGTTTAGAAATCACTTGCTTGTGTTAATAGACATCTTTTATATTTCAGATTGTTGAATACGTTCTTCATTCCCACTTTCATTCATTTTGAAAAGTGCGTTCCCTCCCCTCTCTGACTTGGGGTTAATTTTAGATTTCCTGTGACCTCCTTCTAATTGAGGGCATCCTGAACTAAATGAAAGTTAACTTTGAGAGAACTGTGGATTTATGTTGAATAAGGAAACTTTCGTGAATGAATTCACTGATAAGAGCACACACTTGTAAAACTTCCACAGTGCAGGAGTACTTGAGTACACTATTGATTTGATCATATTTGATTTAAAATCTTACAGATATTAGTTTTAGGTTAGTATTAGTTTTGTTTATGTTTTGGATTGTAATGTCTCAGTACCACTGCTGGGCCCTGAGCTCTTCAGATGCAAGAAAACCAGCATAAGTTGTGTATAGAATGGCTGAAATGTTTGTATTTACAATTGCAATTACAACTGTGAAAATTGCAGGTTGTGATCTAAGCTTCACCTCAGTATGGTGTTCTTGTGATTAGATACATTAAAGGGATAATTCAGTGGTTCTCAAAAGTTTGGTCATGACTCAAAAACAGGGCGCTGCTCTGTTCTGATCAGACAATGCTAAACAAAATAACAATGCTAAATGCAAATAATAAAATGCAACTAACAATATTATGCACAATTATAGACCTCGTGTAGGTCTGCCCCTTTTCAGTGCTCTTCTGTCTTCCGTTTGTATTTCCACAGCATGAAGGTAAGGTCGTAAGATTTTATGAATGAACCGCTCATTTTAAAATGTTCCCGGTCTACTGACATTTGTTATGATATCTGTTTCAAATATTACAATGCTCATTATAACTTTCATTAACTCTACAATAAGTAAATCCACTTCACCAGCTAATTATTCTTCAAAAGTGATGCTGCAGAGCTACTGCAAAAATGGAAGTTCAAAGACAAAATTCTAAAGATGGCTGCGCACTTGTTTCTCTGATGCATAAGGTCTATAGAATGGCTAAATAGACACCCTTATCCACTTTTACAGAAGACAAAATTGATGATTGAGTTGATGTCTCTGGATTATTGTTATTAAAATATATTTATAATATTTATGTTTTGTATAATATTTATTACTAATATTGTTATTGTTCGGTCTATGCTCTTTATGACAATATTAATCCATTTTAATGTTTTATTTTGAGGGCCTTTTTGTTTTTGCACAGTACACAATTTTGATACTGTGTTGGCTCGCCACTTGTTGTCCAAAGATCTGTGTTCTGAAGCAAAAGCAGATCTTAAGCAGTGTTTGAGATGATTGCAGCTGGGAGATTAACCCAGAACTGAGCTGCTCCTGAGCTGTGCTTGCCCTCCTGATGCTGTGTGTTGCGACATTGTCCTTCATGATGCATGGGTTCATTCCTTTTTATGGGATAACCCAATTTTTTTTTTTTGTTGAGTCAAAATAGTATAATGGGTAATATATATTAATTTGGTGATATATGATACATTTAATTGTTTTTTTAATACCTTTACACTATATACTGATGACATTGATAGGCAGCATGTAAAATATGTATTATGTTTGGTCAAATTGTAATCTCACAATAGCTGTCGAGAATTGATGAGGTCATATTTTAAAAGAAAATTAAGATGTTTATAACTTTGAATTTGGTTTTAAAGGAAGGTGCGAATTAAAAATTTAGAGAGGGCTTATTTCACAAAGGGCTAAAAAGCACTCTCTCTTTCACTTTAATCATTCATCCTCTCAGGACTTCAAAATGCCCATCAGACATCTTTCAGAAGTCACCTGCTAACCTGCTTAGCTTTTGAAGTTGATCAAACAGAATATTTTTACCCACCATTCTTCACAGGACAGAAAACAAACGCTTCATTGCATCACATGAGCTCTTTTTTTCTTTCATAGCAGGTCACAAACATCTCCGTAATCTGGTGTAATTATAGCAGACTTTCTCATAGCCGTCCCTCCTCCTCCATTTGCCTGTGTGTCTCCATCCAGTGTTTCTCTCAGCAGGCATGAGAGTATGTTCACACGCCTGAACAGTTTCTCCTCTGTGACTCCATCTGCTGTGTGTGTGTGCCATGTTTGTCAGGATCTTCATCCCTAAGAAGCACCGGCAGCGCTTTGATGAGATGGTCTCTCAGAGTTTGATCAGTCGCTTGAGGGGCCGAAGCTTCAGCGAGCACAGGAACAATCGCCTACGGCGCAGCCGGAGCGAAGACCACCCCGAACGGCTGCTGTCTGTGTCCACTCGAGCCAGCTCTGTGCCCCGGACCGCCAATGAAGAAGTGGTCATGCCTCCTGCCCGTGGCCTCCGCAAGACCACCTCACTCATCGCAGGCCATTCCAGTTCCTTCTCTACACGCAGGTCAGTGGAAGTGTCACACTGGGAACAGCTGCACATTTTTATTTTATTTTAGTTTTTTTTTGCATTTGTATTTATTACTTATGTGGTAGAATTTTTACTTAATTCGTTTTACTTAATTTGATTTTGTTACTTAATTAGATTCATATAAATATAATGATGGGTGATGGATAGCTTAGATTAATTCATACATAATTTGATTAACTGATGCATTGATTTAAAGAAATTCATCCCTTCTTGTTGGATTTCCAATTTCACAGTTATTGTAGGCTGTAAATTATGTAGATTTTATGCCACTGTAATATTTCACTCTTATAATTCATGCTATTTTTAGACATGCTGTTGGACACCTGTGTATGTGTGAGCGTAAATATGACACATCATTAAGATTCATCCTCTTCATTATAGCCTATATTATGCTTTAAACATAACTACTCTTGTGTACAGTATTTCACAAGCATGAATTAATTCTCTGTTAAGCTAGTGCCCGATGCATAAATAGGAAAAGGTGGGAGGATGTGAAAACTTGTCAATCATTAGTACAATACACACTTAATGATATGTCTCCAGCAATGCAGGTGTAGTTTCTTTTTAATAATGTGGAAAACTGAAAGTGTGGCTTTATTGGACTCAGGAATTGCTAGCTATTTGCATAATGACCGCATATACACATAGATATTCATTGAGCCACAGAGAGAAAGGTAATGAAGTCTGTGGAAGAAGAGCTCTTTATAATCAGTAACAGGATCTGACTGTATTATGGATGACTGTAGTGGAAGACATTCAGAGCTTGTCTGACTGTATCTATTAATAACACAAACTATAGAGAACACAACAAACAGTTATGATAATATAATATCTGTGACATTTGAGATAAAAAGTGGCAGAACACGTTTTGTCACTGTTCAGTAAAATTACACTCTTGTACTATGACAAAAACATGCATTATGCCACAGTTTTAATTTCTATGGATACTATATACATGTATGTAAATCTATTATATCTATATCATATAGATATTTTCCAATAATATAAAATGAATATTAGTTTAATAAACAACTATATTAGTTAATCTGCATTATATAAAGATTCAAGATGTTCTGCTTGACATCTATAGGTTGTATTCATATTTCACTAGGACAGTACGGGTGTACAAAGGGAACCAAAGTTTCGGGTTTACTCTGCGTGGCCATGCTCCAGTGTGGATCGACTCTGTAATACCAGGTATGAAATTATCCAAAATTGTATTTATAATATTGTTATAACTTAAGTGTCTTATTTTGATGTTGAAACATTTAATATTTAATTAAGATTAAACACAACAACATTATTCTCTTAGTATTTTCAAACATTGTCTTTTGTTTTCGTGAGGGAAGGGCTTGTGTCTTGTGGCACAGTTATTTTATTTGACATCCTAGAACAAAAAAAAAATGCTATTTTAGAAAGATGAAAAAATATATTTTGGACTTGAAACAAGTGAAGGGGAGTCAGTTATCAGACATATTACTAAAGCAGATGACGTGAATGCTGAAATCATAAAAGTTCTGTCATTTCTGACTCATGGCGGCCATTAAAAAGTTAGGCGACAGAAACTGGCAGTGTGCAAGAACAGCAGGAGATGAAAGAAAGAGAGAGAGAGAGAAACAACAACACACAACAGAAGACTCTTCGCAAGCTGAGTAAGAGGGGCACAGGTGGTAGAGCTCTGTTTTTATCTAGCACAAATCCTTTTAGATTCACACTTTTCCCACATCTAGCCCTCAAAATCCAAAAACAGACATCCATTCTTGGGCAGGATGTGACAAACACCCAATCTTGACTTACAGATCTCACGTCATTTCAAAGGGCATTTCATGAGCACAGCTTATTCTCAGTCCATATGAGCCCATATGATGTGCTGTCAGTAGTTATTTCTGCTTGGTTTGTTGCCATTCCCCCTGCAGGGAGCCCTGCTGAGAAGGCGGGTCTCAAACCTGGAGATCGCATCTTGTTTCTCAATGGGTTGGACATGAGGTGAGGCTTCTGGTTGGGTTGCATTGGAATACATTGCTTTTAACCTAATGTGGAACTGAAATAAAGTCTAAAACAGGCATTACTATTATTATGCATGTGATGGGTTCTTCATGTTCATAATCTAACACTGTATATGCTTCGTATTTTTGTACATTCTCTCAGGAGCTGTTCACATGAGAAGGTTGTGTCCATGCTGCAAGGGAGTGGGGCAATGCCCAGCCTGGTGGTTGAAGACGGCTTGCCGGCCTTCACCGTGACCGAACCCGAACTGTTGGAGGTTTCTCCCCGCTCCCGTGCTCCTGTGCTAAGCTCCCTGCAGTGGGTCGCAGAGATCTTGCCTCCCAGTATCCGCGTACAAGGTCGCACCTTCAGCCAGCAGCTTGAGCACCTTCTCACACTCCAAGAGAGATACACCATCTGCAAGGCCCTGGAGGCCTTCTTCCAGCACAGGTGAAGGACATACCATTAATATTTTAGTGAAAGAAAGAAGATGGAAGTAGAAGAAGTAGATGGAAATGTTTCCATTGCTTCTCTGAGAAAAAAGAAAGTTCATTCCTGAACTTTGTGTGAAACCTGATTTGATTCCTTTTTCTTCCGTGCCTTTTAGAAATGTAGACACTTTGATTGTGGACATCTTCCCTGTGTTGGATACCCCAGCAAAACAGGTGATTTGGCAGTTTATTTACCAGCTGCTGACCTACGAGGAGCAGGAACACTGTCAGAACAAGATCTCCCGCTTCCTTGGCTATAAAGTTACACGTGAGCCCTACTTTGTCTTGTCGTTCCTCTTCAATCTGTATAGAGTATAAGTACATACATATGTATGCTTGCATGTATTTATTTTTGGTAGTGCCAACAGCAGAACCTGAACCTCCAGCCCATGAGCCTCATAGGCGCAGCAGCTCCATGAAGGTGACGGGAACAACCTATAGGAGCAGTATGAGGGGACGCAGCTCAGATGATCTGGTCATTGGCACTCACCTGGGCATGGGTAAGCTATCTTCAAACACTATGTTGTATTACACATTATAACATAGGACAGCGATTTTCTATTTTTTGATGCCATTGATATCTTACTGTTACAAAACTAGGGCTGTCTATAGTCAAAAAAGTGGTGATCTCATCATTTCCGACTAGCCTCACAAAGTGTGTTTAAAAAAATAACTGTTAAACATTTTAACTTTGAGAGACCTCATACATTTAGCAAAATTCTCATTTTCCACCAGCCACCTAGCACCAGGAGGTCTGCAGACTCCAGTTGGCATGCGGGCATACTTTGGCATACACATATTTAGTTACCTATATATGTAGTGAAATTGCGTCAACTTTCACAACTAGTATTATGTATCATGAAAACAGCATTGTAGACATTATTGTAGCATTGTTGGCATCATGTACCATCATTAAAAACGGCAGCTTTCTTAGCAAATTGAAATTAGTTGATGTGCTATTTTCTTACTTCATGAGGGATTTGCACTGAGCCAGTGGAGTTGGCACCTATGCGACTGACTCCTGGAGAGAGGCAATCAGGGGATGGAACATCCTTACCAGAGACGCCCAACAATCTGACTAATGTGAGCACTCTTCTTTGATTTTTACGGGTTTACAAACATTAAAATGATTGAGCAAGTACACTGTCTTTATATTAATATCCCAGTCCCTGTGCTCTATCTAGCTGTCAGCTGTGTATGCTGAGCTGGAGAATGTCTATGCTGGGAAGAGATCCAAATCCCTTAAGACTCGACCTCCTCCAGCTCCTGAAACTCTGGTTAACGTAGACATCTTCCCGCACACTTCCTCACAGTCCATCAGGGCACACTCTTCCTCTCCATCTGTTCGGGCCACTTCAGGTACAGTCAGTGTACTTATACATTTTTTTTATTGGCATTGTGGCTTGTGAATTCTAGAAAGTCCTTGTAGTTTCTTTGTGTAATAGGTGGGAATTTCATCTGAGGCAGAATCTAATGTCAGAGGTATTTTATCTTCTTAACCTTTGTTTTTCCATCTTCATCTCTCAGGTAGCCGCAAATCAGCATCAGCGCAGCCTGTGCCACCACCGCCACCACCTCCTCCACAACCTGACTCTTGGATGCAGGAGCCTCCACTGAGTCCCCAGTGCCTCTGTTACCCTCCAGGTCTTCCCTCTCAAACCAGTGCTGAGTCCAACCCATACATCAGTTTAGACAGTCCACCTCTCTCTCCACCCTCTCCTCCGGACTACCCCCCTAGTCCACCCATTCGGAAGAAGCGCTACACCTTCTCACGTCCCCCCCGTACCCCGGACACAGATTTGTTTATGGAGGTTCTGAGCGAACAGCTAGGACAGCAGTTATCTGTGGATGACTTCCTGTCACCAGAGAATGACTATGAAGAGGTTTGTATATTAGAATGGTTAATTGACTTGATATATTGCTTTTATTGTTTTGACAATGCTTCATTGGCTTGACAAGTACAGTGGCTAATCTTCAATGGACTAATGCAAAAACTCAATGATATTTGTATATTTTACTTCAAAATAACTCCAGGATGTTGTCCAGATGACATTCCAGAATGAGGAAGAGGAGGAGGAAGAGGAAGAGGAGGAGGAGGAGGAGGAGGAGGAGGAGGAAGAGGGTCCGTACATGCCTCCCGAGCTAAGCAGTCCAAGCGAAGTACATAGTAGCAGTGAGGATGCCAGCTCTCTTACTTACTCCTCCAGCTCTGAGCACATTCCTCCACCCCCTCTGACTCCTCCTCCCCCTCCCCCTGTCCAATTTAATGACCCCCCTCCACCTGCTAGATTCACTCCTGACCATGCACCCCGACAGTTGACCTTCCGTCGCCACCCGGGACCTCCTCCCCCACCTCCGCCAAGAGCTAACCCCCCTCCAAAAAGACAATCCATTCACAAGGTGTTGCCCACACGTGATGAGCTGATGACCCAAGTCCTTCAGGAGCACCACTCGCTTCCTGTTCAGCCAATAACCAGCCACCCTCAGCAATCTCAGCAGCAGATGCATCAGTCTCTGCCCCCTATGCCCTCTCCAGAAATAAACCAGTCACCCATCCCCAGTCATGCAATCTACGAAATGCACCATCAGGTTCATCCAGCTCACCAGGTTCATCAACACCACCAGGTGCAACAGGATCACCAGATGCATCCAATCCATCAAAATAAACCAAGTCGCCAGTCTCAGTCTATCAAAGTGCACCAAAGCCATCACTCACACCAGACTATTCAGACTCAACTCTCTAGCTCCATGGATAGGCTTGATAGGATTGAAAGAAAGGAACTCTCGGATAGACATATCTATGACATGCAGCCCCAACCCTTGCATCCAGATCAACAAGTACACCATGCTTATCAGATGCATCAGAGTCATCAGGCTCACCTCTCAAGCTCCATGGATAGACTTGACCGATTGGAGCAGATCCAGCGTTTGGAACGCTTGGAGCATATGGAACGAATCGAGAGACTGGAGAGGGCGGACAGACAAATGCACCGGGCACACATGGCTCAAGCAGTTTCTCAAACTATTCAACCATCTCAGCAGACTCAGCAACAGTACCACCACCAGATGCATCAAGCTCATCAAGCCTACCCACTGACCCAGTCGCCTCCGCCAACCCGCCACATACATCAGATTGAACATATACACCAGGTTCAGCCAATCCAGTCAGCTCCTCAGTACCACCAGATCCACCAGCCCCACCAACCTCACCAGACCCAACAGATTCTGTCAACTTTCCAGCCTCATTCTTCACAACAGCAGCAACACCAGATGCAGCAGCAACAACAATTTCAGCAGCAGCATCAACTTCAACAACAGCTTCTGCAGCAGCAACAGCAGATTCAGCAGCAGCAAGCTCAGCAGCAACAGCAGATTCAGCAGCAACAGCAGATTCAGCAGCAACAGCAGATTCAGCAACAGGAACAACATCGCTCAACCCCGCAGATTCCCCCCATTGCACAGGCCAGACAGAGCCCGCAACCCATGTACCACGATCCTCGTCACCACCATCACTATCACAGCCACCATGAGGCCCAGTCCCAAACGCAATCACCAAGTACACCCCAACCTCAAACTCACCACCCCAATGAAGGTTCCACTGTGGAGCCACCTCCTCCTCCACCTTTACCCCCACCTTACATGCCTCCTCCGCTCCCAAAGGCCTCACCACAAAAATCAGATTCCAGTCATATGAGTGTAAAGCGGTTACGATGGGAACAAGTGGAAAATTCTGAGGGAACCATTTGGGGACAGGTAAGAAGTTTCAGCATGATAAGCTGAGTGTTTGTGTGAAATGCCTTTGTCTAAAATGGCTGGCTGACTCAATAAATCTTGATGATGTTTTGCATCAGTTTTAGCTAAAGAAGATTGTGACGGCTCTCAGCCCCACCCCACACGTCACAGAGATCTAAATCTCGTAGTCACTTATATTTGCAATTTCAAACAGATGGCACTGCATGAGCCAAACCGACAATGCTAAATTCTCCAGTAATAGTTGGAGGAGACCATGAAAAAAAAGTAGTATACTATATGAGACATATATTGGTCTATTGTAATGATGGAACATTTCAGGATGTCCATCATTATTAGTTTGTCTCAGTCCATTAGAATGAACAATGTAAGGACAGATGTGTTTTCTCACTGCAGTTGGAAGAAGACTCTGATTATGACAAGCTAAGTGACATGGTGAAATACCTAGACTTGGAGCTTCATTTTGGGACACAAAAAAGCCCTGGTGAGTAAAATGTGAGAAAAGTAATATGTATAACTAATTTCCAAGGGAACAAATAAGCTGTTCACCAGTTGAGAGGGGAGTTGCTTTCTATATCTTTCAAAGAGAAATATACAGTGTGGTCCATAGGGTGAGCGTGATTTGACCAAGTACAACATGTTCCTGGATCAACATCCTTGTTGATCCTGGAACATCATTCTTAATCAGCTATCATTTCCCTCTGATTTTAGGAATAAATTATGGGTAAGGTTAGGTTTAGGGGGGGGGATTGGGATAAGTTTGTATTTTTGGACAGTAATGTTGATCCAGGATCAACAAAAGATGTTGATTCAGGAACATGACTTACTTGGCAAAATTACAGCGACCTGGTCCATAGGTAGAATGTGGCAGTTGTTGATTGTAGAATGTACTGAACTAAATTTATGTGTCTTCTAATACTTAAAAGCACTGTGAAGTCCATCATTTAAAGTGAGGAAATGAGGAAAACCTGTGAATCTGCTTAGAACTGGTTGTCCTCCAAATCGGAGTATTCAGACAAGAAGTGCCATAGTAAAAGAGGACACCAAGATGCCTACGGCAGCTCTGAAGGAGTCAACTGAGACAACAATAGCCTGCACATTTAATAAATGTAGCTCAAACTAAAGGGTTGCAAGAAGAAAGTTGGGGGGAAACTCTCACCTTGAGATAACATCTTTGTAGCACATCTTGTGGAAGACAAACAAGATATAGAGGAAGAGTCTATGGTCTTATAAGATGGCCAATCACCACAATAGTGATTGGCAGTGGAAAACCTCTTCCCAGACTTTCTGATTGCAGTTTGTCTATTTATAATGGTGATAGCATAATGTTATTGGTCATAACAAAGATTTAATTCCAAATGTTGGCTGTACAAATTATTTTTGTTTACTTTGGATGAAGAATGGTGATAAAGCTTGCCAGAAAGCACTACTCCAGTAGTCTCACATAGCCAGAACTTCAAACTGACGCCAGAAGGTCTGGACTCCATAGCAGCTTTCATTGGCCAAGGACCGCACAAGAAGACTTCTGACAGACATGTCAAGCAATGAATCACAGTTCGTTTTGTTCAGCGTCACATTTAGGGGATTGAAAATGTAAAGTCTATGTCCCTACAGTAACAGACTGTAGGGACATAGATCAATTGATCAAATGTTCAATTGATTCAAGAATGTCATGCAAGTTTATTGCAACAATGTTGCCGTAAACTTAACATAAGTTTGAAAATCCAGCATTTAGTTGATCCCGATAAGCGATCATTGTCGCAGTTATAATCTCAACGGGTTTCTGATTCCATTAGGGGGTTTGGCATCACAACTGCTATGTTTCCAGGTGGACCGTTAAAGAACGCCTACCAGAAGTCCTGTAGAATTCAACCAATCAGATGATGACTTCAGAACTTGAAGTTTTTATTGTTTTGTGTGATATACGTATCCGACGTTCAGCCAACAGTCCGTGGGCGTAACGTCTGAGGCTGAGCCTACTATTCCAGTATATGAGGAGGCAGGCTTGTGTGACACAACTACTTTTTCCTGTCACTTCCAACAAAAATCACTTACAAGCTCATATGTAAGAACTTCCCTGGAGGACTTTAAGGCAGCATTGGACCTGACTATCCTTTAATCATTTGACACAATGTTTTCCATCACAAGTTCTTTTCACTCACGCTATGATTCCTGTCTCAGTTTCTCTTCCAGAGCCCTCACCTCAGGTGGAGACTTTCAAGAAGAAAGATGTGGTGGAGATTCTCTCCCATAAGAAAGCCTACAATGCTTGTGAGTAGCAAACAATGCTTCATATATTTTTCTAGTTAAATTTCTTTTTTGGAAATACATTGCATTACGAAAGTGTAATGGGCTGTAAATGGTAATTTGTGCTCTTGTAAGAGTTCAGTGTAGTTTACCTGTAAATGTTTAGATAATGGTTATGTTGATGTAGATGATGTGTGCTTCCCAGTCAAGTATTAACTTATACATGTGTCCTTCTTTTGTCTTGCTCTGCTACAGTGCTTTTTTGTTTTTTAAATTAGACATGATAATAGCATGCTCCTTTGGCTAACTGTCCTACCTGTTAGACTACAAGCTTCTTAGCTTTTAGCCATTAACCTATAAGCACGCCCTTGTACACTTTGTTATTAAGACTCTTTTACCATTTTTTATAGCAATTTTGATTGCCCATCTGAAGCTGTCACCAAGCGAGCTACGCCAGGTGCTGTTGACGATGTCGAGTGAACGTTTAGAGTCATCACATATTAAACAATTGCTCCTATATGCACCAGACGATGATGAGGTTAGACAATACGAGCAGTACAGAGACGACCCAAGCAAACTCAGTGAGCCCGATCAGTTTGTCCTACAGGTACATGACAAATAATGACAGAGTTTCATGAATAAATTATGATTATTTTGATTTAGCAAGTTTTCTGGGGGTTGCATTTGATATTATGATTAAATGTAAAGTTGGATTTTTGTATTATTTATTTTTTATTGAATAAAATTTTAGTATAATTCTAACAATATATGTGCTTTTGTATATTGTATAAATAGTATATATTTTGTGTATATTGTATATATTCAGATGCTATTTGTGCCAGAGTATAAGACCCGTTTGAAAAGCCTGCATTTTAAGACTATGTTGCAAGAGAAAACAGAGGAAATGAGGGGGGCCTACGACTGTGTTTTCAAGGCTTCATTGGATCTCAAGAACAGCAAAAAACTGGCCAAGATTCTGGAGGTATAATTCCTAAAGTCATTTAGTTTCTACCCAGGCACACATAATCATAAAGTCTTGAAAACAAACACACAAAGAAATTATTTCACAGATAAAGGACTGTTGATGTGGCAGGCTTTTCATTATGCATACTGAAATATACTATGCCAGTGCACACTTTGGATAAATATGATCTTCCTTTCATGGCATGTATATCAATTTCCTTATTTTATTTCCAGTTTGTTCTGGCTATGGGGAATTATCTGAATAACGGCCAACCCAAGACCAATAAAACGACTGGATTTAAGATCAATTTTCTCACTGAAGTAAGCCTCGTCACTGTGTATGCATCTTTTGCAGATGAGTTCATGGGGTTGATCGATAATTTGTGTAAAGTGTATTTTCTATATAGATAGCATTTATTTTTAGAATTATATAAATGTAATTCTACATTTTCCTGGTTGAAGCTTAGCACCACCAAAACAGTGGATGGAAAGTCAACATTTCTGCATATCCTGGTGAAATCATTGTGCCAGCATTTTCCCGAGGTTCTGGACTTTGGGAAGGAGCTTGAGACGGTACCACAAGCAGCCAAAGGTGAATAACTACTTGAGTGCCCAGACTCATATGCAGTCCGAATTCTTTCTTTTTTTTTTCAGTAATGTCTCGTAGTCCGAGACTATAGACTCTCTCAAACACTAATTTACACAATCCATGGTGCTCCTCATCAAGTTTTGTCCAAAATGTGGAGCAGCATTCCCATTTAATGTTGTTTTTTTGTTTCCATAAAAGGTTCTGCAGAGGTCAGATCTCTCTCATATTTTTCATTGCTTTGGTCTCCACAGTGAATCAGAGAAACATCACTTCTGACTTCAACGACTTACATGCCACAATCCAGGACATTCGTTTAGCCTGCCAAAAGATACCAGCCACTGCTGAGGACCGATTTGCCATTGTTATGAGTGTATCCTCCCACTAAAACATCCAAATTGACTATATATGATCTTAGCACGTCTTCTACAAGGTTTCACTGTGCCATATTTGCAACTGTAAGACTTTTCCAAGCAGATCCAGGTCAGATACCCATCAGGACAAGATTATATGAACATTTCAACCATTGAATATACTTGGTAGCTGCCAAATTCATAACAAACCACCTTAACTACTTGCATGTAGGGGTTTCTGGAAAACAGTCACCCTGCAGTGCAGTCTCTGGAGTCTCTGCAGCAGCGGGCAATGGAAGAGTTCTGCAAAGTCGCATCATTCTTCGGTGAGGATGGAAAGGCCACCACCACAGAGAGTTTCTTCTGTATCTTTGCCGAGTTCATGACTAAATTTGAGGTAGGTTTTGTATTCGACGACTTGATGGGTATTTTCATGAAAATCTAGTAAATGAGGTGAATGCTAGTAGAGAAATGTATTGAGTCTTTTAGCACAGACAGGTGGCAAAAAATAGGTCACTCTTCCTTCCCAGCTCTCTTGAGGGCTGTTTTTATGCACATTCTGCTCCCTTACAACACAACATTAACAATGTATATTACAAAAAGCAACACTGAATGAACAGTGCTAAATCAAAAGAAATGAAAGTTGCACTATGCACAATAAAGAAAGGCATGCAATTCATTGTGGAATAGATGTACGACTGATATTCATTGAATACTGGCTGATATTAAATTTTTTTCATTTAATAATGAAAATTGTTAGACTTTGATATATGCTGTGTACACTCTTAAAATTAAAGGTTATTTATTTGCATCAATGTTTCCATGAAGAACATTTAAAGCTGCATTACGTAAGTTTTGCCTCTTTGTCGCCATCTCTGCTTGAAACCTGCAATTGTAGTTATTTGCGAAATTATCTTCTTTACGTGGGTTGTGTATCAGCACGGCTCCTCAGCGCGGATGAATTTAATGTTTTGAGGTGTATGTAATAATTTATAATTAATTAAAAAAAAAAATTATGCATTTAGTAGATGCTTTTATCCAAAGCGACTTACAGTGCATTCAGGCTATACATTTTTAACCAGTATGTGTGGGCTTTCAGTCAACCAAAGACTATAGAATACCCAAGACATGTCACTCGTATAGTTTTGAATGGGGAAAAATGCAATGCTCAATATGGCCGCTCAATCGAAGGGAGCCCCGCCTTCTGAGTAAAAGAGCCAATCACTAATCGGTAAAGTCAACGCATCACTGCAGCTGCAGTTAGAAGTCCTGGTTGCTATAGAAACATTCAGAGTTCTGCGTTTAGGACTGCGCATGCGCACTGGCTGGTCTAGCCTGAAAAATATGCTTTTTTTAACGCTATCACACAAATGCAAAAGAAATTTATGAGACAGTTGTTGTCAGATTTCATTGGTGATTTCAAAAATGAAATTTAATCGTAAGCTTGACGAACAGTTTTGGAGAATTTGATGTTTCCCCATTCAAAGAGATAGGAGCTGCACTTGCATGCCGAGAGGCATTTCAAAGAAGGCCACTGAGTGACATGACTTGCCTTAAAGTGACTTTAAGTCAACGCATCAGTGTCGATATTCACTGTACTTCAGAATTACAGATACTGAGTCTTAGAAGTATGTCCAAAATAAGAAGTTTCACCTGAAAATGTCATCTGAACAAGTAACACGTCTGACAGTTTTGTTCTGACCAACTGAAAAAAAAAGTTTTACAGTAAATCGCGCTAACAATGGTGATTAAATCTAACGATTGCAAAATTTGTTTAGATCACGTCAAACATTGCAAATTATTATTGCTATACTTTTTCAAATTGTTAATGTTAAAAACATCAACATCGCGTGACTACGTGTATTTAATGCATTATCTGAAGTTTTCAATTTAATCTCTGATTATGATACCATTTAAACGTCATTGAAAGAAATTGTTCTTTTAACCAGAAAAAACTATTTAATGTTCCTTAGAACTCATTCTAAAATGACAAGTTTAATGATTCCAGCTGCTGTGAGAAGAGGCTACAAATGATCCGCCACCTGCAGCATCCAAACAAGCAATATAGCCTACTAGCCGGGACTCCTTTATGAATAAAGACGTGACGTAATGACGCAAAGACGAACGACCCAAACCACTCAAATTATAAAACATTATTACAAGCTTACCGTTGTGAATTGTAAGGTAAGGAGATAGTTTTGAACACTGATTGGTTATGTACTTGCTCAGTAATTTATTTTGGATAATTTTTAACCCAAAAAATATGTAATGCAGCTTTAACATCCATAGAACCTCTTCAATGCACAAAAGGTTCTTTATAGTGGAAAAAGGTTCATTAAATTATTTAAATGTTTTTCACACTCAGAAAAAATTGGTTCCCTTTCAGTCGTTCACTCTCGACGTCACGTCGGTGACCGACGAATTGGGATCTCGCTTTGAGAGACCAGTCTACTTCGAGTGTAAACTAAACGAGCCAATGGACATTGGCATGTGATAATTGCATCCAGCTGCCGCTGATCACAGCGTGAGCATAAAACAGCAGCCAATGCAACACATACCAGCTTTTCGCTTCGGAGCCGAGCGATAACACCGTTCTGCTCCTGCCAATATCTTTGTGTGTGAGACGACGAGTTCAGCGCGCTCTAGGGAGCTTTTTGTGTTGGCGGACTGTGCTTCAGCGGCGGTCGTTCCTGTGTCGAGTGGGTTGTGCACTTCAGGCTGCACTACCCCCTGTCGTGCTGCAAACAGCCGTTTCCCTTGTGCGTCTCAGCACGTAAAAGAACATTTCTCTAAAAGAGCCAATTTCTCTAAGAGAGTACAATAAGCGGGTGCGTCTTTGTAAAGACGATGGATCGTCTTTTTAAAGATGCCGTTTAACCCGTGCGTTTACCTGGCGCCGGGTGATGGTCACGATTGCTGCCTCACGTGTCTGGGCATTAAACACGCTGAGGTGGCGTTCATGGATGAGTCATGTTCCCATTGTGGGAAGATGACCATCTCGGAGCTGCGGGCCAGGCTCCGTTTCCTCCAGGGGGGCGGAGGTCCATTGCCTCAGCCGGGATCTAGTGTTCGTCCTGATGGCAGCCAGGCGAGGACTACTTCGGGCAGTAGCACGGGCGGTCTGAGGGTTACAGTGGTGGCAAACCCCTCAGGGAACCAACCCTCGGGGGACCATCACTCCTCTAGCAACCAGTCGAGCCGCCAAAGGAATGCGCTGGGCCCTCTTCAAAGAGCGTACCAGCGGTATCCTTCGGTGCTCCTCCCGACGAACGGATGTTGATCACTGCATCCGAGGGAGAGCCCTCTGAAGGGTAAGATTCGGCTCCGCTGCCGCCCTCTTGGGTGGTGGCAAGGCCTGAATCAGATCCAGAGATATCGGCTATGTTTTCCCGGGCCGCCGTGAGGGTAGGGCTCGAGTGGAAACCTCCACCGCGTCCTGAGCCCTCGAGGTTGGATGATCGGTTTCTCAGGGTGGCTCACGCTGGCTCTCAGTGCCTCGCCTCAGTGCGTTTCTTCCCGGAGGTGCATGAGGAGCTCACCAGGTCATGGACGGCACCTTTTACTGCCGGAAACCGACTTGCTGGTTCCTCCTCCCTCACCACCCTTGACGAGGGTGCCGCAAGGGGGTATATGGCGATCCCCCCCGGCGGAGCGGTCGGTAGCGATGCAGTTGTGTCCTAAGACCACCTCCTCCTGGCAGGGTAACCTGTCGCTCCCCTCCCAGGCCTGTAGGCATTCGTTTGGTCTGACCGGCGGTGCTTATATAACTTGTGGAGAAGCTGCCTCCACCTTACATGCTATGGCATTACTGCAGGTTCATCAGGCCAAGGCACTGAAGGACCTGCACAAGGGTGGTCACGATCCAGAAGTTCTGATAGTGTTCCGAACCGCTACTGACCTCGTGCTCCGAGTGACGAAGGTCACTGCGAGTTCTCTGGGTCGTGCGATGTCCACACTTGTGGTCCAGGAGCGCCATCTCTGGCTGACATGAGCATCCACAGCAGCCACGAGCAAGCGGCGCCGTGGAGCTGGGCGTAGACAGGCCTCCCTGCCCGTCCAGGCCCCCGTCAAACCTGGCAGTGAGTGGAAGAGCAATAGGCCCTGGGAACGGGCGACCTAGAGAGGGAGGAAGCTGCTCTTTGGGGGATGCTGAATGCTCCTCTCCCTCCCCCGGAGGAGGGCCGGTGGAGAATCTGGAAAATCTCGATGAGAGAGCAGTTTTCTCTGTCCCTGGGTCCCAGAAGGGCACGGAGAGTCGGGGACGGACCAGCACCGGACCACACTCATCCTCCTCCATCACCAGCAGGCAGCAGTGGGCGGTTCGAGAGCGTCAACAAAGGCCCTACTCATGCACCCTCTGCCAAACTGTGGAACCAGGTAAGCGTTGCACCACTCATTCAGACCCCTCTTCGGTCCCGCCCGAGTTGGGTCCCTGCGTTCCACCTCACTGCCCCACTGCAGTTACGGTGGTGGTTCCGTTGGTCCCACTTGCATGGTATCTGGGTGCCTGGCTAGTGCTACCCAGCCTGTCTCGCTGGCTTCTGTGGACCATCAGCCTCGGCAATGCGATTCAGTTCGCCCAGCGTCCCCCAAAGTTCAGTGGAATCCGCTTCAGTGGCGGCCGATGCTCCTGTCTTGCGTGCGGAGATCGCGGTGGGTTACGACCAATCTTGGACCTGCGTGTCTTGAACCGGGACCTTCACCGGTTACTGTTCAAGATGCAGAAATGCATCTTCGGGTGCATCCGTCCCTGAGATTGGTTTGCAGCGATCGACCTGAAGGACGCGTACTTTCATGTGTCGATCCTTCCGCACCATAGACCATTTCTGCGGTTCGCGTTCGAGGGACGTGCATATCAGTACAAGGTCCTGCCCTTCAGGCTGCCCCTGTCTCCCTGTGTCTTCACGAAAGTCGCGCAGGGGGCTCTTGTCCCCTCAGAGAGCAGGGTGTTCGTATCCTCAACTATCTCGACGATTGGCTTATACTAGCTCAGTCTCAGGCTCAGTTGTGCGAACACAGGGACTTGGTGCTCCGGCACCTCAGCCAGTTGGATCTTCGGGTCAGCTGGGAGAGTAAACTCTCCCCTGTGCAGAGGATCTCTTTTCTCGATATGGAGTTAGATTCGGTTGAACAGACAGCACGCCTCACAAAGGAACGTGCACGGTCGGTGCTGAACTGCTTGAATTCATTCAAGGGCAGGACAGAGGTCTAACTGAAACGATTTCAGAGGCTCCTGGGGCATATGGCAGCTGCAGCGGCAGTTACACCTGTTTCATATGAGAACGCTTCAGCACTGGCTTCATGGCTGAGTCCCGAGGTGGGCGTGGCTGCGCGGCACTCACCGGGTCCAAGTTACACTGGCCTGTCGCCAAACCTTCACCCCGTGGTCAGACCTTG